TTATTTTACTTAAGTAGGATTAATTAGTAAATGGTGTAGTATTTTTGGTCTTGTTTTAGAAGAAAGAGTATGAAATTTGAGGCTAATTTTGTTTGGTCTTAATTGAAAAAGGGCCCAATTTTGGATAGCCCAAAACATTGAGCCCATACCCATTCCCCATTTGACCTAACCTAATCCCTACTCCCTATAAAAGAATCCCATAATATCAATTCCAAAAAAAGGAGGACAGATCTGCAGCTGCTCCCTTTCCAAAAAGACCAAGCTTTCATCTATCTCTACGACCAAAACCAACGATCACTTTCACCAACATTAATCCAAAAAGAACAAGCCAGCCATCCTTCCCCAAAGAAAAAGAAAGAAAGAACAAAAAGAAAAATGCAAAAAGAAAAGTGAATAAGTTGAAGAGTTGAAGGGATTCAAAGAAAAGTAACGACGCAAGGCATGGAGAAAGCAAAGAAGGAGAAAATGAATATCATGACCAAGAAAGAATGATGTTAAGTCTCTCTATTTCCCCTAAGGAAAAAGAAAATGCCTCAAAGATTCGGCAAAGCATGAGCCAAAAAGAAAATGGAGTGCTTAAGGAAAGATAAACTCGTTCTATTCTAACATTTCCAACCTTAGTCCAAAAGACTTCATTATATTCCGAAAAAGCCCTACGTGATTTCAAGCCGAGTGAACTTACATTAGTGGTGATCTACATGAGGGGCAAGCATATGGTACTTAGAGTCGTACTTGTGACATTCTTTTGAGAGAGATGAGCGAACTTTTCACAAATCTTTGAATTGAGTGCTAAATTCTTAAGTGGGGATATGCTAACGGAGAGTAGAGGAGGAGGAGTTTGGGATCCTCAATGACCTACATGAAAGAGCGATATTCCTTGATGAATAAAATTAACTCTTGATGCTCAAGTGTCACATTAGAACTATTTGTGCTTAAAAATTCAAATTATTGTCTTGTTGATAATTCATAAGTGTTGCGGGTAACTGTTGGTCCCAATTGATGTGTGATTGGTGCATCATAGATTAGCTGGAACAGCTCTTAACTTGTTGTATACGGTGAAATCGGAGGGCCCAATTTATCGTTATCTAGGCACTAGGAAGATCACCTCGAAGGCTCGAGGCCGCGGCCGAGTATCTTTCCTCGAGGGTCGATAACACTCGACTCCAGGGTAGTAATGATCATGGTAATGGTGGAAATGGGGAGTTCCCAAGGCACGCGGCTAGGTCTGACACAGTCTAGCGGGCTACTCTGAACCCAAATAAAGGCGTCATTCAGCCGTCCCATCCCCGTACCTATGTAATTAATGTATTTTGTACTATGTGGGGATTTCCCTCCTATATAAAGGGAGTCCTTGTCATTTTGTAAGGATCTGTTGCTTCAGCTGCTCCACAAGAAATATAAGACAACATTCTCTCTGCTCTCTTACATATTCTCTTGATATTATTGCTCCCATTTATTATCTTCATTATTGTTTATCATTTATTGCTTATCATTGGCCATAAAGAGCCTTCTTTGATTTTATTATAACTGTTAGCCATACTTCGATTACCTTCGATAGCTCACAATCGAGCCCTGGAATCGATCTCGAGGCCCCCGAATCGACAAGCTCGAGGCCCGATTGCTAACCTATCGGTTTGACCATCACCTTATCCTTAGCTCTTATTTTGTTTCTAAGTCTCACATACATAGTATCAACTGCTTAACAACCGGCATAAAAATAGATCACGTATTTTTAGAGTCCTATAATCAAATTTAATTGTTGTTACCATTTTCACAGTAAACAGTTTGGCGCCCACCGTGGGGCTAAAATTAATAGTGATTATTTTCTTGCTGGTTCCATTACACAACGCAAGTTATCTTTCACGCTTTTTCTTGTCAAAAGATCTTTGATTTCAGGTCGGAATGTCTGATTCAGTAAACAATAACCTTGAGAACCACGGAGAGAATGGCGTGGCCGTTCCAGGTGTTGGTGAGCCACCACGAAACCTTGAGAACGCACCAGGACCAATTCCGGTGGACGAAGTCTCGCGCGACACTCAACACGTCAAAATAAGCTCCCACACTAACAGGAGCATACTCCAAGGCGACCAACAAGAAGCCCAAAAAACCCCAGCACGGGAAGAACGGGAGGTTAGCCTTCACGTTATTTTTGAAATGTTGCAGGCACAACAGCTGGCTATTGCTCAGCTGCAAAGCTACCAGAAAACTCCTAGCACAGTAGAACCGGGGATAGCTACCCCGGCCGAACAGGCACCGGAGAGATCGAGCAATAACGGGTCGATGTCCAATCCCGTCATCGTAAAGATGCTCGAGGACCTCACCAGAAGGATCGAATCGGGCGAGAAAATGACAGAAGCCAACGATAAGAAGGTCGAGACTTACAACTCTAGGGTAGACAAAATTCTAGGAGCACCCCCGATCTTGAAAGGTGTGGACTCAAAGAAGTTCGTACAGAAGCCGTTCCCACAGGAAGCGGCCCCAAAACCCATTCCAAAGAAGTTCAGAATGCCCAACCTCCCAAAGTATAACGGAACGTCAGACCCCAACGAGCACGTCACCGCCTACACTTGTGCAGTAAAGGGCAAAGACCTAAGGGATGACGAGATCGAGTCCGTCCTGCTGAAACAATTCGGGGAAACGCTCTCTAAAGGGGCAATGATGTGGTATCACAACCCGGACCCAAACTCGATAGATTCATTTGCCGTGTCATCGGACTCTTTTATCAACGCACATGCTGGCGCCATCAAAGTAGCAACAAGGAAATCCGACGTCTTCAAAATTAAACAGAGAGATAATGAGATGCTGCGAGAGTTTGTATCTCGCTTCCAAATAGAACGAATGGAACTACTACCGGTCTCTGATGACTGGGCGGTGCAGGCCATCACTCAAGGTCTAAACGAACGAAGCTCGGTGGCTTCGAAATAGGTGAAGCAAAACCTAGTCGAGTACCCGACCGTGACTTGGTCGGATGTTCATAACCGATACCAGTCAAAAATCTGGGTCGAGGAAGACTAGCTTGGGCCCCCCTCGGGCTCGGTATATCCAAGCAGTCTTCTGGCAAAAGGGTCCAAAACCAAACAAAGAGAGGTACCGGCCATACATTGAAGAAAGGAGAAACGCCCAGAGGCGCAACGTACCCTGCAACGATCGAAGGATGGACCGAGGACAGAATCCTTGTGTAATCGTCAACAGAGCCGGGTTTGATAGGCACACGGGGCCAGCAGAGGCACCTCACCTGTCAGAATACAACTTCAACGCCGATGTATCAGACATCGTGTTCGCCATCAGCAAAATCAGAGATGCCAAGTGGCCAAGGCCTGTGCAATCGGACCCTTCGCAAAAGAATCATAACTTAATGTGTGAGTTTCACAACACACATGGCCACAGGACTGAGGATTGTCACCAGCTCCGAGAAGAAGTAGCCAGACTACTCAATAAAGGTCACCTCCAAGAATTTTTAAGTCTTAGAGTCCAATGAATTTGATGTAACCTATAATGCTGGTGCACTATCAGTTGCAGCGGCCAGATCTTTGTTCTCAGTTTCAGTGGCGAATGATGAAGAGTTCCCATCATCAAGTCCAACTAGTAATGAGCTACAAGTGATGCATGTGAATATAAGCATTTCCAATGACCAACTGCTCTCTTTATCATAAAAGTATGAAGAAGTTACGGCTGATAAAGAAGCACAATTGGAGGAGTGCTTGGAAGGGATTAGCAATCGTAATGCTGGTACCGGAGAAAATAAGCTTGGTTAAATCTCAACCTGAAATATTCTTCTCTCACTAGGGTGAGCTTTGCTCGTATCATTATTCATTATCTATGTACGGAAAAAATTAAAAGCTATAGAGTGATTTTAATAGTAAGGGAAACAGAAATAAAAGACTCCAGTTAGATGGTCTTGAGATTTAATTCTGCTTATCAACAAGTAAATGTAAATGTGCCTAAATATTACTCTATCTGACTAAATTAATGTAATGCAGTTAGGATTTCGAGAGTTAAACAAGTTTTTCTTTGTCCACGATTGTCACATATACTTATTAAATATTTTGAATTGTTATGTATCATGACTTATAGTACTTTTTATGTCGTTTTCAAATATGTAAATTTTATTTCAAAATAATTAGAGATTTTACGGCTGAATTCACAGTTAAAATTAAGATGTTTGATTCTCGAAATTCGAGTTACATAACATAAATTGGAAAAAATAGAATATTAATTTTTTCTTCAACTAGATGGAAGTATTGAATGAGCAAGAGTTCCTTCTATATTGAGGACAGTTATCTCTTGAAATTTGATCTTAGGTACAAATGAGAATTCCAACCTAGATTGCATGTTGTCTACTAAAATCAAAATGGCACCGCATCCAATTGGAGTTGCTAAACTATCTTTTTCTTAGTACTCGCATTGTTGTTCAACTAATTAGAATTCGCGGCATATAGTACACACTAAAAGAGAGGGTTTTCCTATAAGAATTATAAGTGAATAATCTTAGAAACCAGTTTGTTTTAAATTAATCTTCATGTGTCATTTTCTATTTAATTGATATTCTTGGATGTCACTGCAAACTATGGAAAGAAAAATGAGAGAACGTTTTCCTTTTATGGCTTTCATTTTCTTGGATAAGAAATTACAAGGGCGTGAATTATCACTCTTAGGGATTTTTACGAGATGGAATATTTTCTTCACCCATATCCTAGCCATTATTTATTTTCCACTATATATACTCAGAAAATATATCTTTCTGCACTCTAATGGGAATTTATCAATATTAATTAATAGATTTTACAAAAATATAGTAGAGTTCAAGTGAATAATTACCTAATGGAAGAATTAGCACCATTTCGTGGGTAAAGTACTAGTCAACAATGATATTCCTGACACATCGAATAAATTTTTTTTTAGAATAATTCATGAAAAATATTTAAAAGAAACAACATATATAATAAATATATGTTGAATACATAGACGACCCTTAAATTTATGAAAGACTTTTATTTAGACACTCTAACTCATGCCATAACTTATTAGCCACAAGATCTCTGTTAAAAGAGAAGAGGCGCAAACAAAATTAGAAGCTCACAAAGCGAGAAACAGTAAAGACACAAATGTAAACTAGTCAAGGGATTGATCAAGATCCCCTTCAAAGGCCCATGGAGTCTCATTTCGAATCTCTGCCTCTTCCTCTGGGGTAAAGTCATTAGTGATATTGAAAATCTTCCGAACAGCTTCAGGCGTCTTGTTCTTAATCCTATTAGCCACCGCCTCAGCGCACAACTCAAGCAAACTATTGATGTCAAGGAAATTTGCAGCTTCTAAGATTTTAAAGATGGTTTTGAAGCCAATGCTCACAAATTCCCTGTTGAAGTTCTCGATTTCTTCTTCATTTGAAGAAGTCAAGGAGTGCATCTTTAGGTAATCGATGATCTTGATCAGGGTTTCTGTGTCGACGTTGCTCAGCGGGATGACACTAGAGGAGCATCCATCTTCGACCATGTTCTTGATTGTTACAGACTGAATGGCAATGGATTCTTCCAACTCAAACTCATCACCATCTGACGACTTCAGAGTCAAAAACTTTTTCTCTATGGTCGATGATGTTGCCTTTGCCATTGTTTAAATTTTGTGTCTGCAATTAAGTGCTTGTTCTACCATTCAATTATATATGAATCAGATGGGTAGTTTCTAATGAATGATTTTAAATACCAAATCAGATTATTATATATCGAATCTAATTATTAAAAATTGATTTCGAAGGTTATTTAATTCAACTTTAAAGAATTAAATTATTTACTAAGTTTCATTTTGTGGACAATCTAGCTTTAAATAAGATTTTTTTTAAAATACTTATAAGTAGCTTCAAATCTAGCTTTATATCATATGAATATGCATTTATAGTAGATTATTTATTTTTATATATTTTAATCCAAGCTTTATGATGGGTTCTAATGAGTGAAATTATATGATTTTTTGATTAAAGAGGACCGTTGACTTGGGTATTATCTCTTGATATTTCAATTTTAGCTATTCAATAAAGAAATTACTTCCTAAATACTAGTTCTTATTATAGTGCTTACCTGGATACCGCATTTAAATATTGTTAGAAGACTGAATTTGCTTGTTACTCTTTTGTCACTGTCACGACCCAATTTTCATTATAGGCCGTGATGGCGTCCAACGTTGCCGCTGGGCAAACCAACGGTGAACTACCCATTTAATTTATCATTTTAATATTTTTAAAGTCTTTGATTTTAATTTAATACGAAAATAAATAGTAAGTGAGCGTAGTAGTGTAAGGTATCAACTAAACGGGAAAGTAAGATAGCGAATTCAATAACCCAAAACCAACGAGTGTCTACATGAACTCCCAGAACTCAGTATTACAAGTGCACGAAATCTAGTAGAATATACAAAACACTCTAAGAACTACTGTCTGAAACAAAATAGACAGAAATGATAAAAACATAAGAAGCGAAGGTTGCGGGTGCTGCGGAGCGGATCATGAAGAGCATCTCAGCGCTAAGCCTCCGGGTAATGCGCATGCGTGCCCGGACGAACTCCAAATGCACCTGGCTCAGAACCTACACAATATGTGCAGAAGTATAGTATGAGTACGTAAACAACGTGTACTAGTAAGTATCTAGTCTAACCTCGAAGAAGTAGTGACGAGGGGTCGACATTGACACTTACTAGTGGGCAATATACATAATGTACAAGAAAATTTAATAGACATGAAATACAACATCAATAATGGAATAAGAGGCAATAATTAAATTATCCTTTAACAAAATAACCATTAAAAGTCTCCAAATATCACATGCTAATCTCAACAAGTACGGGCTCAACATGTATTTATAAATCCTCGAGTCATAAAAGACATGTCAAGTATAATCGAACTCCGAGTGACAACACGCACGAGTTATGCTGAGGTTGTACGGCCTGATCCATAATTATAGTGTACATACACTACCGAGGTCATACGGCCCGATACATGTTTGAATCCCATAATATATATAAATATTGCTGAGGCGTTCGACCCGATCCACAAGAATAGGGAAACTCTTCGCATTATGAATTATGTATTTACAACTTTAAGGTAAGCCCATAAAAGAATATAAATTTCCATCCATGACTAAATATTTTTGCCAAATATCTATGTAATGAAGCTCGATTTAATATCATCCTTAACCAAATTTTACTTACTAAGTCGAGCAATTAAATTAGCAAGTTGAATTCAAATAGTGCAAGTAATAGCATGATAGAGGCCTATGTCTACCTAGACATAAAATGAATTTTAGCTACGCACGGACTCTCATCACTTCGTGCGTACGTAGCACCCACAATTAGAAGAAAATAACAAATTTAAATACCTATCGGGTTAATTCCCTCTTACAAGGTTGGGTAAGAGACTTATCTCGTTCACAATTCCACATTTCGGTCCACAAATAACTCTAAAAGCCTCAAGTTCATGCCGAACAATCCGAAACTAGCCAAAAGTATTACAAACTAATCAATAATTGCTCAAACGTTCATAATTTAACTGTTACACTGATTACCCAACCGAATTTAAAAGTTTCCTAAAATTAACCCCCAGGCTCGCGTACCCGAATTCCTGAAATTTTCGTAAATAAATGTTACTCATAACCTCACGAGTCCATACCTGTGTTTTTTTCTCAAAAATACGAGCCCAAATCGACTCTCGTAACTCAAATTTTCATTTCGCAAAACATAGACAAAGTTTCTCAAAATTTCACTTTGATTCTCATAATTTTGATGTTAAATCTCATGTATAATCACGTATAATAGTTGGAAATTGATCAAAATCACTTACCCAAAGATTGTAGATGAAATCCCTCTTTAAATGTGTCTCCTACCGAGTCTAGGGTTCCAAAATATGAAAATGAGACCAAAATCCCGTCCCTTAGCTTTTATGTCCAATCACATGTGTCGCAGTTACGACCTGGGGTTCGCAAATGCAAACCCCGCAAATGCTAGGAATCCATCGCAAAAGCAAAGAATCTCACATCCCTACTTTCATCGCAAATACGAACTTGGACAATTCGCAAAAGCGATCACAGTGATCGCAAATGCGACCAATGCCCAGCCCTGGCTAGTATCGCAATTGCGATGGGGAGTTCGCAAATGCGAATACTTCAGGCCATTGTGCTCTTCGCAAATGCGACAATGAAGCTATAAAATGCGACCTATTTCTCGCAAATGCGAGATCTGAGCATCAGCAAGAATCTGAACCTCCTACGAACTATCTGAAATGCGTATGATTCTCACCCGAACGCTCGGGGCTCCAAACCAAAAATCAACACAAGTTTAAAAATATAATACGAACTCACTCGTGCGATCAAGTCATCAAAATAGCATCCAAAACCATGAATCGGACCCCAAAACATATGAATTCAACATGAAACTTAAGAACTTCTGAAAACACAATCGCGCATCCAATTCCTATCAAATCAACCCAGAATGACGCCAAACATTGCGGACAAGTTCCAAATGACAAAACGGACGTATTCCAGGTACCAAAATAGAATCCAAATACAATAGGTATGAAGTCAACCTACGGTCAAACTTATCACAATTCCAGGCCTTTAAATTGTCAAATTTTAGCAAAACAACACAAATCAACCTACGGATCTCCGAATTTGATTCCGGGCATACCTCCAAGTCCAAAAGCATCATACAAACCTATTTGAACCATCAAATCTCGGTTACGAGGTCGTTTACTTAAAATATTGACCCTAGTCAAACTTGTCCATCATAGACCACTATTAAGGAACTAAGTGTTCCGATTTCGACCTAAACCCTTCCAAACCTAAACCAACCATCCCCGCAAGTCATAAAATAGAAAAAACACATATGGAAAATCTTAATCAGGAGAATGGAGATCTATAAAGTAAAACGATCAGTCAGGTCATTATAGTCACGACCCCAATCTCCCCCCGTAGGATGCCGTGATGGCACATAGTCTCTAAGACTAGATAAGCCTAACACGCATGAAGAATTTAACGGAAATATTAATAAAACATCAAATGTAAACCAGTAGCTAGCATAAAAAGGACTCCACAATACAACTAAACTTAGTGCCCAAAAATCTTGTGATACCGAGTCTTGCGAATGCCGGCAGGTATACCTTGAAGTGTCCGATCAAAGCTCGACTCACGGATGCCTAGGCTGGTATGAAGTACCTGGATCTGCACAAAAAGATGTGCAGAAGCGTAGTATGAGTACACCACAATGGTACCCAGTAAGTATCAAGCCTAAGCTCGGTAGAGTAGTGACAAGGTCAGTTCAAACACCTACTAGAATAAATAAATAAAGTCAACAGGTATAATACAACATAAAAATGGAAATAATGGAAATGATACAATGAAGGAATATAACAAGAACAGTTACACTGAAATTAAGTAAATTAAGACATCACGGAAGAAACACATAATAAGAATGTCAATGAAACTATGCAGACAAATACAACTTATGTAAATAAAATATAGCAACAAGAATCACTACCGAGGTACTGCCTCTTAGTTGCATTTATCAATCAAAATTCACAGTATTTCCTTATACCACCACGGGAACCTTGCATTTAGTTTTGAAAATCATTTTCCCGATTTATCACACCACGTGGCTTCAAGTAGGTCCCCTACTAGCAACACATGTATCAAGCCTACCTACCTTATCTCACCGCATGCGTATCAATCCCAATCCTTATACCACCATATGCGTATCAATATCACAACATTTCACAAATCGCACCTCAAATTCCCCAAACCACAACTTTCCAAAGAAGTCAATAACAATAACGTTTCCAGAATAAATATCTCATGGCGCAACAACAATATGTACAAGAGTCTCAACAATAGCAACCGAAATTGAATCTCAACAAGAATGGTATTTCAATAATTTACAACTTTGCCTCAATGTGAATCACGACCTTTATAACTGCAACACCATAATTCAACAATAGGATATTTCAAGAAATAACAACTTCAAATAAGGTAACATAGCAGTTAATAATTAACAATGAAATTAGAGAACAGTAACTTCAATTAAGCATGTAAATATAAATCACAAGCAAGAGCTGAGACAAGTGTTTAAAATGTCAAGTAAATCACGTACGGATATATTAACGATGATGAAGATAATATGTAATGACGATTCAACTGAAGGCATGAAAAGAATCTACATAACTTTAAATCGGTCAATTACCACATATAGCCAGTGTACCCACTTGTCACCTTGCGTACACGGCTTTCACGTACCACAAATGAAACAAAATAACTCCAATCCTAAGGGGTAATTTCCCCACACAACGTTAGGCAAGACACTTACCTCAAAGAAGCCAAATCAATACTCTAAAATGACCTCCTCGTCGGAAGCAATCTCTAGATGGCTCAAATCTAGCAAAAATAACTTAACATCCTTAATAAAAACCAAAGATAACAATTTCGGATAATAAAACTTCGATCTTCAATGAAAACTAAAAAGTCAACCCGGGCTTGCACCTCAGAAGCCGACAAAACTCACAAAATCCGAATACTCATTCCGATACGAGTCAAACTATATCAAAATCATCTAAATCCGACTCCAAATTCGATGTTCACAACTCAAT